ATGTTGGTAGGTGCCATCTAGTTTTCGACCCATAGCGACCTTATGCACAGCAGAACAAAGTACTGCCTGGTCTGGCGTCATCCTCACAAATACTCCGGTGCTTGAGCCCATTGTCGCAGCCACAGTGTCAGCCCCTGTCCTTGAGAGCCTTCCTCTGCTTTGCTCTGCCCCTCACTAAACATGATGTCCTTCTCCAGGGACTGGTTTCTCCTGCTGACATGTCCAAAGTATGTAAGGTTGGGTCTTGCCATCTTTACCTCTAAGAAGTTATATATGGAATAGCCAAAAAAAACCAACTGGAAACAACTTACATGTCCATCAACAGGTGAATGGATAAGCACATGGTATGGCACATGCAATGAGCACATGGATAAGCACATGCAATTAAACACCACTTCCATTATCACAGACTATGATCACAGCCTTGAGAAGAATGAGACTTCCAGAACACTTTACTGCGATCATGTAGAACCTATATATAGATCAAGAGGTAGTTGGGCAAACAGCAAGATAACACTGCATGGTTTAGATTCAGGAAAGCTGGGTGTCAGTTTTGTACCCTTTCACCCTACTTATTCAATCTGTATGCTGAACAAATCATTGGAGAAACTGGATTGTACGAAGAAGATTTCAGCATTGGGATCGATCTGAGGAAGGCTTGTTAAGAACCCTTGCTATGCAGATGATCCAGCCCTGCTTGCTGCACTTTAGGAGGACTTGGAGCACTTGCTGATAAATATTGAGACTTGCAGCCTACAGTGTGGGTTACAACTCCGCATAAAGAAGACCAAACTCCTCACAACTGGACCGAGGATTTCAACTTGCTTGGGGCCACAAGCAATGCTTATGGAAGCAGCAGCTCAGAGATCAATGGACACATTGGTTTAGGTAAAGCTGCCACATCACACTTCTTTAGAGTGTTGAAAAGTAAGGATGTTACCTTGAGGACTAAGGTACTCCTGACCCAAGCCGTGGTATTTTCAGTTGCCTCCTGTGCATGTGAAAGTTGGATGTTGAAGAAGGAAGACCGAAAAAGAATCAATGTGTTTGAACCAAGGTGCTGGCAAGGAATATCAACAGCACCATGGACTGTCAGAAGAAGCAACACATCTGTCTGGGAAGAAGTACAACCAGAACGTTCCCCAGAGGCCAGGACAGCAAGGTTTCCTCTCACCTACTTTGGACATGCTATCCGGAGAGACCAGTGCCTGGGGAAGGACATCATGCTTGATAGAAAAGAGAGGGCAGAGAAGAAGGGGAGGGCCCTGGATAAAATGCGTTGACATGGTGGCCGCACCAGTGGGCTTCAGCAGAAGAACAAGTGTGAGGGTGATGCAGGCCCGGCAGTGTGGAGTTCTGTTGTACATAGGGTCGCTATGAACCAACTCGATGGCATCTAACAATATTGTAAAGGAATGAACTACTGATACAACACAGACACACTTCCAAATGATTATGCTGAATGACAAGAACTGACATAAAAGACCGCATACAGTGTGATTTCACTTACGTAGAATTCTGAACGGACAGAGCTAGCAAGCAGATCAGTGAAGGGGTATCGGAGGGTTGCCCATCACAGAGCGGGTTGTTCCCTGCCTTAACTGTGGGGTGGTTACGTGGGGTGTGCACACTTGTCAACTTGTGTCATTGAAAGCAGTTCATTATCAATTATAATTCAATAAAGCTATTAAAATATGTTTTAAAAAAAACCATCCATGGATATCCAGATAACATACATTTGTACTTACTGGTATTTTCAAAAAGAAGAAGAAAAAAATCCTGCAAGTTGAATTGCTAGATCAAAATAAGTGCACATTTAAAACTTTGATAAGATATTGTCAAATTGCTCTATCATAAAAAGAAGAAAAACTCCATTGATGAACTAGCCACATGAGTCAAATATGAACCATGTGTTTCCTCTAAAAATCGTCACATAAAAAGTCATAATTGGGGGAAAAAGTTATAATTGGACAGAGATTCTTTTCCTAAGAACAATAGTTAGAATTCAGGTGGCCTGGGAAAGTAATGGGGGAAAATCTTTCATCTAACAACCTGTAACTTAAAGGTATCATTTATGAATAAGCCGTAGTAGTATCAGTATTGTATTTGATGTCACAATAGAAATTGTATATCTTCATATTACAATGTAGGGGTTTTTTTTCAGTTGTTTACCTTCTTTTTAAAAAAATCATTTTATTGGGGTCTCATACAGCTCTTATCACAATCCATACATAAATCCATTGTGTCAAGCACATTTGTACATTTGTTGCCATCATCATTCTCAAAACATTTTCTTTCTATTTGGGCCTTTGATATCAGCTCCTCATTTTTCATTTCCTTCCTCATGAACCCTTGATAATTTATAAATTATTATTTTTCATGTCTTACACTGACCAGTGTCTCCCTTCACCTATTTTTGTGTTGTCCAGCCCCCTGGGTGGGGGTTATATGTAGATCATTGTTCCCCCTTTTTCCTCCCACCTTCCCCTTACCCTCCTGGTATTGCTACTCTCAATATTGGCTCCAAGGGGTTTATCTGTCCTGGATTCCCTGTGTTTTCCAACTCTTATCTGTACCCATGTACATTCTCTGGTCTAGCTGGATTTGTAAGGTAGAATGGGGGTCCTGATAGGTGGGGCATTAAAGAACTAGAGGAAAGTTGTATGTTTCATCAGTGCTATACTGCACTCTGACTGGCTTGTCTCTTCCTTGTGATCCTTCTGTAAGGGGATTTCCAATTGTATACAGATGGACTTTGGGTCTCCACTCCGCACTCCCCCTCATTCACATTGACATGAGTTTTTGTTCTGAGTCTTTGATGCCTAATACCTGATCCCATCGACACCTCATGATCACACAGGCTGGTATACTTCTTTCACGTGGACACTGTTGCTCCTCAGCTAGATGACTGCTTGTTTATCTTCAATCCGTTTAGACCCTAGATGCTATATTTTTTCATAGCCAAGCACCATCAGCTTTCTTCAGCACATTTGCTTATGCACTCATTTTGTCTTCAGCAATCTGTGCTGGGAGAAGATGAGCATCACAGAACGCCAGGTTATTAGAACGACGTGTTCTTGTGCTGAGGGTGTACTCAGGTAGAGGTCCAATGTCCATCTGCTATCTTAATACTTAACAAATTAATATAAGTACATAGATCTATTTCCCTATTGTTATATATAAATATATTTACATCGTATTTAGACCTCTATAAATGCCCATTTGCCTCCTGGTTTTTTCCCTCTATTTCCTTTTACTTTCCTCTTGTCCCACTCTCATGTTCAGCCTTCATTCGGATTTCAGTAATTTCTCTCGGTTACATTGCCCTTGATTAAACCCTACCAGGCATCCGATGCCCTCCTCGCCATCGATTTTAGATCACTTGTTGTTCCCTTGTCTCTGGGTTTGTTAACACCCACTTCCTTTCCCCCACCTCCCCCTCTCCCATGTTCCCCTGGAACCATCAGTCCCATTGTTTTCTCCTCCATATTGTTTATCCCACCTATCTTATCTAGATAGACATGCAGAGACAATAATAAGCACGAAAACAAGACATAGCAAAACAAAACAACAACAAAAAGCAATTACCCTCATCACTACTTTAAAATTATTATAGTCACTAGGTCTGCTGATTGACTAATATATATGCTACTTCATAAATTAATTACATTGTCTCATTTAATATATAGTTTGATCATTGATGCCTTTGGAATCTTATAAATATTTATGTCATGGAATAAAAATTTTATTTGGAAAGGGCACCCAGAGACTTTACCAAAATTTTAAAGGGGCCCATAGCATTAAAAATAATTAAGAGCCTCCAAGTTCTTTTTATTTTATCTTAGGATAGATCTCATATATTTTTGTCTTGGGATTATATTAGATAGTGTTTTTTTTTAATAAGGAACTTTTCTTATTTCTCTCTTCTGGAACAAATTTACACATTGATGTCTGTTCCTTGAAGGCTTGAAATCATTCACCCATGAAACCATTTTGGTCTGAAGCTTTTCTGACAGGCAGTTCCTAGAAAAGGTTCTCAACTTCTTCTACACACAATACATTGAGTTTCAATTTAGTTTATGTGATGTTTTTAAGCTGATTTTCCTAATTTGTATATTTACAGAAATCTTCCAGATATTTTAATTTACTAGTAAATTGTTTTTGCATGATTCTCTGAGGTTTCTTCTGAATTAATCTGTTATTAATTCAAAAGAATTTTTGGGGAAATACTCATCATTTTATTAATCATAAATCTCTACATATTTTTGAAAAAAATCTGAGCATTATGCAAAAGATTTTGAAAAAGTCAGTGGTTAGAAAAGGAACTTTCTCCCTATTCCAGCCTAACAGAGGTGCTGCTCGTGTGATACTCCTGAGCAGGCTTCTCCAAGCCTGTGCTCTGGGCCATTCTCCCTACCTGTTTGTGAAGATGCTGGGCCCAAAGAGAAGCAATAAGAAATCCCTTCCAACCAGCCAGCAGTCACCGCTTGTAGAGGGACCAAAAATCCCAGACAACTGCCCAGGGGTTATGAAACCATGCTGGAGATGGGCGCCCTGGGGGAGATTGGTCCCAGATAGCCACATATAACCAGGCAGTGGATACCTCAGGGGTCCAGGTAGGACTAACCCAAACCAGAAAGAGCCTTGGTGGTGCAGTGGTTAGGCCTTCTGCTGCTCACTGGAAGGCTGGGTGTGAACCCACCAGCCACTGTGGGGGAGAAAGAGAAGGCAGTCTGCTTCTATAAAGATTCCAGCCTTGGAAGCTCTGAGGGGCAGCTCTACCCTGTCCTTTAATGTCCCTATGGGTTAGAATCAACTTAAAGGCAAGGATTTTTTTTTTTAGTAGAGTCACGAGCAAAACACAATGTCTTGGAATATTTTGGATTTTGGAGAACAAAAAAAGAATTTGGAGTGGATATGTATTATGTAACTTTCTCATTCATAAGGTGCACCTGGATTTGTTACACAGTTTTCCTTTCTCCTCTCTTTTCATAATACAGCTACTCTCCAGAGAGACCGAATTTTCAAGCATTTTACCAGGAAGCGCCAGAGGGCTATGCGAAGGCGAGTCCACCAGATCAATGGACACAAGTTCATGGCCACGTACCTGAGGCAGCCCACCTACTGCTCTCACTGCAGGGAGTTCATCTGGTAAGGAGCTCTCCAGCTTCCCTCCCTGGCTGGTGGGACAGTGGAAGTCAGCATGAAGGTTAAGAATTATTCCAGGTCTCATTTTGCTGCTGCTTCAAATAGAGCTACCCAGCAAGACCAACACCCATTGTAACAAAAAGGAAACAGACCACCTCAGCAACAACAAAAACAAACATTTAACCACTTACAGGCCCAAGTTTTAGGTGCCATTTCTTTTGCGAATCATTCTGGTAAAGGTGCGATGAACTAGTCAGAGACACAATTCAGGGTGAGTGGTTGGAGACCCACATAACCAATCCATGATATTCCCAGATGCTGAAAGAAAAGGGAAAAACATTAGCAATACCTCTTTAAGAAGGTGGAAGTCAGGTTAGGGGATGAGTTACGGAAATGAGTCATTACAAGTAAGTGCAGCTGGTGGAGCGGTAGTGGTCTTCAGTCTTGTAATATGCAGGCGAAAGTAACAGTCTTCAGTAGGTAGATGCTATCATCTAACCCTCAGCAGTAAGGAATTTAAGATGATGAGTAGTTAAGAAATACTAGAGCAGTGGTTCTCAACCCTCCTAATGCCACGACCCTTTAATATAGTTCCTCATGTTTTGGTGACCCCGCCAACCATAAAATTATTTTTGTTGCTACCTCATAACTGTAATTTTGCTACTGTTATGAATCGGGCAACCCCTGTGAAAGGGTCATTCCCCCCCAAAGGGGTCACAACCCACAGGTTGAGAACCGCTATACGAGATGGTTTGGAATAATCATGTTGAAGTGTGTTTCAGGGGCAAGTCCATGAAGTAAAAAAACTTAGGCTAAAAAAACCCAAACCCACTGCTGTCGAGTTGATTCTGACTCATAGCAACCCGATAGCATTGCGTAGAACTGCCCCCTGGGTTTACAAGGTTGTAAATATTCATGGAAGCAGAAGGCTTCATCTTTCTCTTGTAGAATGAACAGCTGGGTGGGTTTGAACAGCTGACCTTGTGATTAGCAGCCCAACATGTAACCCACTACATCACAAGGACCCCTTATTTTAAGGATAAGGGCGATCCCAAATCCCCCCTTTTACAGAGGAAGACATTAGGCTTCAAGGTGTTCGTTCTTGCCCAGAATCAAACTGAGACCATCTGATGTCAGTCTTGTGCTCTTAACGATGTGCGTTAGCCTGCTTGGCTTTTGTGAGGATTAAGTGAGATGATATGTGTTGGCTGCTTTGCCTCGTGCCAGACATGTTCTCCGTTAATGAGAATGGCAATGCTGCCACGAAATCCACCTGTAGAATATATGAGGGAGAGATGGCAATGGAGCAGTGGGAAAGAGGGCACTTGCTGGCAGCACTTCTTTTCCTGGCTCCAGAGGTGATGTTGGGGCCCGTGTTGGGGAAGGGTCGTTCCCTGGGTCAGGTCACCGTGGATTCATCTCTTTCTGCAGTGTGTCTCTCCTGTTTACTTCAGCATCTGTAAAGCCTTATGTGCTTGGGAGAGAGAAGACAGAAGAAGGGGGTGGGATGACTCTTTAGAGACACTTAAAAGACAGACGAGGATTTATATTCATTGAATATGGAGGGGATTGCTGCAGAGGTAGGTAGGATGTGACCCATCATCGTATTATCTGCAGCACTCTAATGCATCAGATGATTTCTTGTGTGTCTTCTGGTAGCAAACACTGGCTTTTTAAAAACACAGCATCGTCTTTGTTTCTCCCCTGAAATTGTGTTTCTCATAAGGGGCTAGCGGGTGAAATTTGTTTTCCTTAAGAACTGTCTTTATAATAAGGTGAGTGCTGAGCCAGTTGACTGATGGCCATCTTTTCCTCTCTTGTTTTACACAGGGGAGTCTTTGGGAAACAGGGTTATCAGTGCCAAGGTAAGAAATCATTTTGAAACCAAGTTTATATCTTTTCTGTATTAAAAAATGACCATCGCAAGAGAAAACAGGATACAGCTCATTAATTTTGCGATAAATAATTCTCTATATGTCAACTGAATCTTCTCCATTTGATTGTAACTCTTTAGTTGTTGTTGAATTTTGCTTATGATTTAGAAAGCATAGGGATGTTTTGATTTCTAAAGCAGGATACCTAATCAAGTTCAGTATTTTAATGTTTCTTCTATGCAATTATATGAAAATATTCCCAGGTGTTTGTGGGCTGGACCCTTGAATCATGGAGATGGTTTCAATTTTCACACCCTCATTGTCCACAGAGGTGAGAGAGGTAGCATACTACTGCTTTCCCTATCCCTACATACCCACCCACTGCTATCAAGTTGATTCTAACTCACAGCAGCCCTATGCAGGGCTTCTGAGGCTGTAGGTCTTTACGGGAATGGGAAGCCTCCTCTTTCTTTCGCAGAGCCACTGGTGGGATTAACCACCAGCTTTGCGGCCAGCAATCCAGTGCTCGCCTGGCTGCAGCACCAAGGCTCCTTCTGTATCCAGATAAGCAATAAGAACTGCGATCCAAGTTGCCTTTTGTTTGCATGTTTATTTTTTTAATGGGAGAAATGTTCAAGGTGAAGCCGTTTGTGAGCTTTTAAATTACTGCACATTTAAATTAATGTTACCATTCTAAGATAAAACCGATATGCTAATAGTCAGCCAGAGTTAGACTAACACTAAGTGGAAAGTAGTGAAAGAACTATTTACTCAGCTATTTAACCAGACAAGGTTGGCTTATCTTTTATTTGGGACTCCCTTATTGCGAGCATGAAGGAGCTCAGGTGGTGGAGTGGAGTATGCATTGGGCTGCCAACCACAAAGTCAACAGTTCAAATCTCCCAACTGCCTCACAGGAGAAAGATGAGGCTGTCTGCTCTGTATAGGTTTACAGCCTCAGAAACTCAAAGAGACAGTTGTACACTGCCCCCTAGGGTACTCTGAGCCAGAATTGATGCAGTAGCCTGAGTGGCATATATGTCATCGTACCGTGTGTACAGGTGGTGTCCATCTCTTTGAACTATGCTTTCATTTAGATGAGCAATCCCAGTGAGTTCCCAAAGTTTGGAAGAAATCACTGTGTCATCAATACAGCAGTGATAATTGACCAATATATTATTAATCCCAATCCCAAGTGAGAAAACAATTCACAAGCCAGAATCAGTGCTAGCCACTTGTTAGCATAGGACTATGAGGGTAATTTAAAAAGTGTTGTAAACAAAAATATAAAAACGCGAAGTGCCTGTTTCTTGACATGTCCTCTGTGCTAGTCTGGGTACATTGGAGAAACAAATATACAGAAACTCATATGTAGAAGAGAGTTTTATATAAAGGTTAAGTGCACATCTGGAAAACATTCCAACCCAGTGCCACCCAAGCCCACAAGTCCAACATTAGCCCATGTGTCCGACACCAATCCACAAAGCCCTCCTCCATCTGACAAAACACACACAATGATGCCGACTGCAGGAGGAAAGCTGAATCAGGGAGCGTGTAAGCATCTCAGCACTGGCAGGGGTCTCCACACGGCTCCTTCAGCACCCAGGGCTGCATCTGGGTAGGTCCATGTGGCTTCTCCTTAAGGGATGTCTTGCAGGAAGTCAGCCTTGCCAGCTGAAGCAGGGAACTGGCTAAGGCAGCTGCACCCTGGTCCGACCATCAGAAAGCAAGAGACCCGAGAGCTAGAAAGCAAGGCTCACTGAGCCATTTCTCTCTCCCTTCAATTAACCCCACATGTGCTTATCGGCTAGGTTGGCGCAATAAACTTTAGCAATCTCATCCTCCATTTAGATCTCCACACTTCTGAAGGGGTAGAAATTCTGCACGCCTTCCCCAAAGAATTCTGCATGCTTTGATTTAAACCTCATTATACAGCAGTTTTGATATCCTCAAGGGACTCAAATCACATTTCTTTTAAATGTTCTTTGAGTTTTAAGGACAATAACAACAAAAAGTCTGACCAGATCCTAATGACGGGGCAGGCTCAGGGCTGTAGAGTGGATGGGATACAGTTTCCACGGGCATTGTAGTAGGACAGCTCTTGCCACCTGAGGAAAACGAGAACACGAGCAGGGACATTGTCATCATGGAACATGTTCCCTGGCACAACTCCTAGCCATTTCCTTACCAGTGCCGTTTTCAGTTTCCTTAAAACTTTTTCCTAATCGGCCCCCACTATCATCTTGTGTCCAGGACAATCCATCAAGATTATTACCCCGTTGGAATCCCCAAAAAAATTTCCATAAGCCTTCTGAGGTGTGTCCTCTCTGCCTTGGATCGAAGTGGCCCAACAAGGCGACTACTTTGCTTGGACCTTCTCTAGGGTGCCCTCAGGAGGCGAGTCTGAGTGTATTGCTGAGGAAACGTCTCTAGCCGTCCATTGATCTCAGACAGGCTTACACACCTTTGTTTGGGATAAACCTGTGCATGTATGCACTCGAATCGTGGTAGCGGTATTTTCTGACTTACCCTCAACTTTGTGCCTTCATCTCCAGTCCATATGAAACTTTTGGTGGACCAGATTACACGTTTGTGTTTGAAAGAAATCTCTTATGATGTATACATGTTGTTTTATTCCTTCTTCTCGGCAGGTAGTGCCAAGAGATTGAAGGGTTGATTTCAGTGAGTAAGCTTCTGTTAGAAGAGCAGGAGGAAAAACAGGAGAGCAGGAAGGAATCTCGGTTAGGAAAATTACGACTCTACTTGGTTCACATTTAGAAAGAGTCGTAAGAACAAAGGCCTCCACGGAAAGAGATGCCATGCTCACACTGATCAGGAGCAAGCTGAAGCAGCGTTACTGATTTCAGACCTCACAGACTACAGAACAAGGAAAATAATTAGGGATAAAAATAGAATGCATAAGCAAATGTGGTGAAGAAAGCTAATGGTGCCCGGCTATCAAAAGATATAGTGTCTGAGGTCTTAAAGGCTTTAAGATAAACAAGTGGCCATATAGCTGAGAAACAGCAAAGCCCACATGGAAGAAGCACACCAGCAGCCTGTGTGATCACGAGGTGTCGATGAGATCAGGTATCAGGCATCAAAGACCCAGAGCAAAAAATTATAATGTGAATGAGAGGGATAGTGTGGAGTGGAGGCCCAAAGCCAATCTGTAAGCAATTGGCCATCCCCTTACAGAAGGGTTGTGGGGAGGAGACAAGCCAGTCAGAGTGCAGTGTAGGATCCATGAAACATACAGCTTTCTTCTATTTCTTTAATGCTTCCTCTCCCCCACTATCATGACCCTAATTCTACCTTACAAATCTGGCTAGACCAGTGCATGTACATGGGTACAAATAAGAGCTGGAAACACAGGGAATACAGGACAGATAAACTCCTTGGGACCAATATTGAGAGTAGCCCTACCAGGAGGGTAAGGGGAATGTGGGGGGAGAAAGGAAGAACCGATCACAATGACCTACCTATAACCCCCTACCAGGGGATGGACAACAGACAAGGGAGTGAGGGGAGACACCAGACAGTGCAAGACATGAAAAAATAATGATAACTTGTAAATTATCAAAGGTTCATGAGAGTGAAAAGGGTGGGAGGGGAAAAAATGAGGAGCTGATACCAAGGGCTCAAATAAAAAGAAAATGTTTTGAAAACAGTGATGGCAACAAATGTACAAATGTGCTTGACACAATGGATATATGTATGGATTGTGATAAGAATTGCACGAGCCCCCAATAATGATTTAAAACAAACAAAAAACCAGTATGTTGTCCTTAGGAAGGGGCTGTTTCTCCAAGAGGCCTTATTCAGTGCTGAGTAGTTTGGACCCACAGGGGCTCAGTGCACAACAGAACCAAGTCCAACTCGGGCCCTGCACCACTTTCACAGGGGTCAGGTTTGGGCCCGATTTGCGGCCACTGCCTCAATTCAACGCTCCCTCTTTGTGGCCTACTCTCACTTTATCCAACATGGTGCCCTTTTCCAGGGACTGGTCCCGCCTGTTAAAAAGTCCAAAGAATGGGAGACAAGGTCTTGCCCTCCTCACTTCTAAGGAACATTCTGGAAGACAGAGTAGCCTTTGTGGCTGTACTTAATAGAACATCAAAATAAATGAGACAGAAAGATATAGATGTGCCAAATCCACTCTTATGCACAGAGACTTCAGTTCCCTCCGGTGGCATTTCGTAGACCAAACAGGCAGGAAATCAGTAAGAATATTGTTGGTCTGAACAGCTGCATCAACCCACGTTGATCTAATTGACGCTATAGAATATCCTATCTAACAGTGGAAGAATAGGCATTCTTCTTAAGTTCATAAGGAACATTCACGAAGACCACACTTGGGGCCACAAAACACACCTGAAGAACTTCAAAAGAATAAAGACTGAAGTATTTTCTCAGATCACAATGGGATTAAACTAGAAATTCCTAACAGAAATATAACTGAAAACCTCAAAATCTTTGGAGGTTAAGCAACATGTTTCTAAGTAACACATTAATGAGCCAAAGAAGGAGTCTTAAGAGAACTCCGAAATATATATTGAATTAAATGGAAATACAACGTATCAAAACTTGAGGGATGCAGCCCAAACAGTGCTTGGCAGGAAATGTGTAAAATTGGATGCATATATTGAAAAAGCAGAAAGACCTCAAATCAGTTATCTATGCTTCCATCTTAGGAGACGAGAAAAAACAGGAATTTAAAGCTAAAGGAAACAGAGGAAGTGGCATAATAAAAACCAGAGTAGAAACCGGTGAAATTGTCCACTAGCTAACAGTATTGGAAAAGCCACCCAAAGTCTGGTTCTTTGAAAAGATCAGTAAGATGGATAGACCTCCAGCTCAGCTAACAAAGGAACAAAACCGAATGCCTCCGAAAATGAGGTCTTTTTGTGTGGAGGATGGTTTCTCGATCGTCTTCACGCAAAAACAAGAACAAGCACACCAGAAAGAAACACAGCCTGGCTCCCTTGAGAGTTCAGTCTGAGGAATGCAAGATCGACTTCAGGTCGCCTGCTCGATGACATGTCTCCTGTCTGTCTGCAATCCTGAAAGCCTCCACCTGACGTAGAAGATTGCCGTGGTGGCTTAGTGATGCAAGTCTCCACCGCCGTGCAGAAGACCCAGGCCTGATCCTCTGCCAGCGCGCTGCACGCACAGTCTCCTCCTCTGTGAGCGGAGACGTGCACGTTGCTATGATACAGAGCAGGGTTCCGCAGAGCTCCCAGACTGGAATGGACCAGAAAGGAAGATCTGGTGAGGTCCTTCTGAAAACCAGCCAGTGGGATCATGTGGACCCTCAGCCCGCCATGGAGAGGGTGCAATGGGGGCAGCATTCTGTTCCCAGGGGCTGAGTCAAGAGCAGCCAACGGTGCAAGGACATGTTTGTATACTGCTTACTCCACGCGTCCATCCGGCAGTGGCACACTGGGCTAGTGCACCGTGCGGCCATTTGGATGAAAACCAAAATAATGTTAAAATGCGATGACCAGAAAACTCGAAACGGCCCCAGTGGAGTGGCTCGGAGAACACTGGCTGAGTGGCTCCTCTGCTCACGACATGCTGGGCACTCAGCTCAGAGCACATGGAAGGTTAGGAAGGAGGAGGAGAGATTGCTTTGTTCCATTCCACACAGGAGAAAAGGTAGAGGGTTTTTGTGGAAGAGGCTCTTTTTGAGTGGAGTCCTGTGAACACACGTGCAGATGGAGTTCGGAAGCGGGAAGGGCGTGGCCAGTGATGCGTGGAGGAGACGAAAGCTGGTTTCAGAAAGAGCAGCGCAGCCGAGCGAGCTTCCAGGGAACAAGTGGCGCATGCAGAAGAAAGCCGGCATGTAGGATGCGAGTAGCGTGTGGGACGTCTGAAACTTGGTGGGACATTGGAACGTCATTGTTGGGCAGTGGGACCCCATTATGGATTTTAGATCCTGGGCCTGTGGTGATCAGAATTAGACCTCTGCAGCTAGACACAGGACAGGTTACAAGAGGAAGATGGTAAAAGAATGAAGGAAGGCCAGGGCCTGACTGCAGCTCTCTGGGAGCTGAGCCAAGGGCTGAATGCGTGTGGATCCTGATTAACATCCGTAGGAAGGATGGGATGGGAGCAGTGGTTGCCACGGTGTGGACCAGATGTCCAGGCGGAGTCTTGGTGACATGGCACAGCTTGTGGTTACAGTCACTGGCTAGACTGTGAGTCTCTGATACATGTGTAATTGCTGGATTTAATTTCCTAGTGTGCACCTGTGTGGTCCATAAGCGCTGCCACCATCTGATTGTCACAGCCTGTACTTGCCAAAACAATATTAACAAAGTGGATTCGAAGGTAAGAGAACAGCAGCTTCCTTTCACACCTTGCCTCTCTCTCCTTTCTCCAGCTCTTCCCGCCCCGCCCTTTCTTCTACCCTCAGTCCCTGATGGCGGCTGTGGGATGGCTCTCTCTCTCTCTCAGGGCATTTGCATTTCTGTGTTTGCATAGCACGGCTTCTCCTTGAGGTGACCACAATCGGGGTCCATTTGGCATAAATGATATGGGCCAGTTCTACTGCTTTTCTGTGGTGCACAAAGAGTTCTGGTGTGGCCTCAGACAACCTGGATAGGAATCCAGAATCGAGTCTCTGATAGCTGCCTGTGCTGTGAGCTAGCACAAGGCCCACAACTTCTCTTAGCCTCCATCTGATAGTGCCACCAGTACATCTGTCCCGAAGCATGCATGAGAGTTAAACAAGACAGAAGTAATGTGTAAAACACGCTAACTATTGATAGCTTGTCCTAAATTTAAAAATACCATTAGCTGCTTAAGAAATTTCAGGGAGGGTAAATAACTGTAGAGAAGAACTTGGTTCAGATTTTTGCATTCAGTCACATTGCATTCAGCTAAGACTCCACTAAAACCCACTGCCCTCAAATCGGGCCAAAGCAGAACTGCTCCTTTGGGTTTCGGAGATGGTAAAACTTGATGGGAGTTGATGGCCTCCTCTTTCTCCTGTGGAGAGGTGGGTGGGCTTGAACTGCTGGCCATGCTGTTAGCAGTCCAATGCTTAACTCATTATTCTCCCAGGGCTCCTGGGCATATGTTTCAAATTTTAGGGGGTGGAGAACAGATAGAGTGCTGTGGATCTTGATAATGCATTTACAGGTACATTGGAGAAGATGGTCGTAGAACTCCATGGTGCTTTAGATCCCAAAGTGCCAAAGTATACAAATACACTGAAACTTTTATGAGAAAGAGACCGAAAAGGTCATTGCCCCGACCCTTGTCATGTGTGGATTTTCTGTTAAACTGGAGTGCAAGCGAGGCCACATGCTCAGTCTCGTTATTTGCTGCAGACAGTCTGTGAGGTGAGAGCAGGGCCTTTATGCCTACATTGTCAGACTGTTGTAGCCTAAGCCAGGAGGGCTGCACAAGATTGTCACTTGAATGACACTTAGGGCGAATGTCTTCTCTGGTTCCCTTCCCTTTGGGTGCCTGCTTCCTTTTTCTCTTTCTCTATTTTTCTCCCTCCCTGCAGCACAATTTCTGAAAGAAATGTGTTAATAGCAATGGTGCGTAGGCTAGAGAAAACCAGGTTAATCCTGCAGTGCAAAGGTTCCCAGAAACAGGAATGGGTGTAAGGAAGAGAACTGGAGCCTGAATCTTAATCCCTCTTTATTTCTCAGAGTGGTGAATGGTCCATATCATGTTTGTGCCAAACCTCGCTGATTAGAAAACATGCCTAATCTGGTCGGTAAGACCTGTGTAACAGTCATGGCCAAGCACACTAAAATAATATACCCAGCTCAGGTATCATAGTAACCACTTGTGTTTAGGGGACTCCCGTGACGGGTGTTACAGATGTTGGCACTGGATTTTTAACCTTTGCTCCCTTGCCCCCCCCCCCTTTTTTTTTATTACAGATAGCTGAGCAGAGGTTCGGAATCAACATTCCACACAAATTCAACATCCACAACTACAAAGTGCCAACATTTTGCGATCACTGTGGCTCCCTGCTCTGGGGGATTATGCGACAAGGGCTTCAGTGTAAAAGTGAGCACTGGGCGCTGGCTGTCCATTTCTTCATGGGGACACCAGGGTGGGGGGTGGCTGCATGCTGCAGGAATCCTGTTGGTTCAGAATCTGCCCTCGGACAGCAGCCGGGCTCAGTTCATACATGAATGTTTACTCTTCATGTTAATGTAAGTTAATGTGGCTCCTTCAACCCACCAGCACTACTTCTGATCCGAGAGTCCATAAGCTTCAGACATTAAGTCAAAAGTTAAATTCAGTTCCCTCCTCCCTTCTTTCGACACTCTCTCACCCGGTCTCCTTCCTCCTCCTCTGAGCTTTGTGGTGCATTGTAATAGGTGTCTTGAAGGAGGGAATGGGGCCTTGGCAGGAATGGAAGTGGGCAGAGGTTCAGTGTCAAAGCGAAGGCTGGGCCGTGAGTGAGGACTTGTCGGGAGACTGGTCTGATGACCCCACTGGAAATCAGTAGGAAAGGGGCCGGGCAGCCTCACAGAGCAGCCCCGGTGTTGGGAGAGGGTGCCCTGATAGAGGTGTCAGGAGTGGGTGGAGTGAAAGGCTCCTGAAGTTTGCCTGTGGGCTTGAACTTCAGCAGTAGGGCTGGAGTCTGGGGCTGTAGCTTAGTGCATGGGGTAAGAGAATGAGGGCTGATCTATGTTTTCCCCAGAGCAGGGGAGTTGCTGGCCCATCCAGTCATGCCCCAGCGAGTGCTGCCTTAAGGATCCTGATGTCATGGGGGGCACCTCCCCCTGTTGAAATAGAAGTGACTTTCATCCTGAGGACTTAACAGACACACTCACTGGTAGAGGAGAGATGAGGAGGTAGCATTCTCGTGGGTGAAGGGATACTGTCATTGATGGCAGATGCTTAGCAAGCTTCAGCCAATAAAAAAGGAGTCAGTGCTTGACCAGAGGCCCACTCATGTTTTCCTTTGAGGCCTCTGCTAGGTGCTCACCGGGTGATCTCACCTCCCTGTGGTTTCCAGCATGAAGCCCAACTGCTGCCTCCACTCGGCCATTACTGATGTGCAGACCCATACAGGACGCTCACCTGTATGTGTTTCGGTCCATGGTGGCCTGAGCATGTCACACCTGCAGTGAGCTGGCTCCCATCAATTTTTGCCTGTATTGTCACGGGCTATTGTGAAAGGCCCCTGTGTGTAGGCTTGTGTATCTTACCAGCCTTCCCAACAAAGGTGGATTTTCTATGAAGCTCATGCAGCATAAAACTCTTGCTTCATGAGAACCCTTTGCACGCCTTCTACTTGATCTTGTATTCTGTATCTTAAAGAGGGCCTTGCATTTATATGAACACCAAGCCCCAGAAAACCTGGGATTGCACCCATTTCCAAAGATGGAGTGATAGATACTCCATAAGCAGGGAACATGTGGCTTGCTGCCTCCACGCAGCGGCCATCCGCACGCGCCGTGATGGAAAACAGTGCGGGAGCATCCTTTCTGCTGGCGAAGCTCACGCTCCTTCTTGGTCACCCACCCGTGCCCTGTGCACTGGGCTTACCTTGTTTCCCTCTTCTCTTCCAACTGCCATTTACTCTGACCTTTCAAAAAAGTTATATGTATTTTTCCCCCTTCTAATTTCTTTCTCCCCACAAAGCGATGAGAAACTTGGGGCGTATGTAAATACAGAGAGCCGCAGCCCCCCAGGATGCACGCCTGTGCCTGGAGGGCTGCCCAGCCTCTGCAGTGCTCAGAAGGAGCTGCATTCAGAGGGCTTGCTGTTGGCAGCGGCAGTCTGCCCTACTCCACCAGGGGGCTGTCCGTGGCATCCAGGTTGCCGTCGTGCCTTGTACTCGCGGAAGGTAGAAGGAGCAGAATGAGGACGACGACAGGACGCCGCCGCAGTATTTAACGGACACCGGGTTGTGTCGCTGTGATGGGCGTCCTGGTCTCTGTAGGTTGAGTCAGGCTGGCCAGTCGGCAATGGCCAGTACGTCTGACTAAGATGAACGTGTTTCATCACTTCCTTTCTGAACGCGGCGCTCTCTCTTTTTGTTTTGTTTTTTCTCTTCCCTCCAGTCTGTAAAATGAATGTACATATCCGGTGCCAAGCGAACGTGGCCCCTAACTGTGGGGTGAACGCCGTGGAGCTGGCCAAGACGCTGGCAGGGATGGGCCTCCAACCGGGAAACATCTCTCCGACCTCGGTGAGCCTTGGCTGTTCATTTGGAAGTTGGGCAGACGTGGGCAAGCCCCAAAGGCGGGCCTGTAGCAAATGGAGCCCGTGCAGAGGACGCATGTCTTCATGCATCCCTTGGGGGGCACGTTTGCCCCACAAACACGTTTCTGTGCACAATGACACGCCAAGAAACAACGAGCATGCAGATGTAGTAGGAAGCAGGGAAATTACGTGTATATTTTAAAAATCAGCTTCCTGTCAGCCCAGTGTGATGGAAAGTCTGGAAGCCGGGGGACCTGGATTATGCGCATGACCCGGCCATGGTGCACAGCAGTTGACCTGGGCCTTAGCGCCCTCCTCGCCAGTGGTTGACACTGACGATCTCCGATCTCCGAGCTGCTCCACAGCCCTGGAATGCAGCTGCAGCACGGTTATTGTTTTCAGATGGGGGATTTATCTCTCCGAGTCAGCGACAGACAGGAGTTCCTTCCTCTCGGCTCTCAGGAGTGGGTGGAGTTGTAATTGCTGGGGACATGTTTGTCTTGTGACCTCTCTGAGTGACCTCCCTCTGCAGCAGTTCATTAGAACCTCTGCCACTTCCCAGGCCCATGCCTTATGGCTGCCCTCCTGTCCACGGTCTGCAGAGAGCGGAGAAATCGCCACGGGCATGGCTGTGATCTCGTGAGAGGGGTCGCTCGCGGGCCGGTTCAGGGACATCCTTGACAGAGCTGGGAAACCACCTCTGGTCCTTAGGGAGTGGGGACTCGCCAGGAGTTTCTTAGCAGCCCAGGAAGAAGTCAGGATGAACCACCCCTGTTTGCTTTTATGTTTCTTTAACAGTTTTATTGGGATATAATCCACATATCGTACCACTCAATAGTACACTCATATCAAGAAGAGTTGTAAGTCATTACCACCGTCATTTTCAGAACATTTTCTTCTTTCTTGTACTCCTTGCTATTAGCTCCCCATTTCCCCCAACCTCCCCTGCCCAAACCCCAAGAAACCATTAATCCAGTTACCGTCCATAGATTCACCCAGCCTGTATCTCATATACCGAAAAACATACCAAAACAAAGGCGGGGTAAAGTTAACAGCAATAACAAAATAAAATAGATAAAAACTTCAACCCAAAAAGCAGAAAATATTAAAAACGAGAACAACTTCAATATGGGTCAGAAGGGAGACCAAAGGACAAGGTGTTAAAAGGACAGCCTTGGGGTAACATTTCGTTACTTGATTGCAGGAGGGGCTTGACAAAGTCCATTGTGTCTGGACTGTCGGGATTTCTAATTCATGAAGGGTGGGTCCAGGGATTGCAAAATTCATTGGAACTCAGCAAGGTCATGTGGCCCAATTTCCAAGGAGGGGAAGTGTCACGTGTTTTTTGGATCAAGTATGTTTAATATTATGTGCAATAGTGAGAAGCCAGAAATCACCTTAATAAGATAGAGTTAAAAGGAGTTGGAGAATGCTAAGCTTATCAAATAGGGAAAAATGGGTTAAGAACAAAAAACAGATTGAGAAATACTGGTGTAGCATTTTCTAGCCAGTGCCCATCAGGCCAGGGGAAGTATGTCAGTGGAGGAAGTGAAATTGAAGCTGGTAAAATTCCCCTTTGTGATCAAGGCTTAGAGGAGAAAGTGTGAAAACAGATTTGTTAAATGGTCTATTATCTCCCTTGCTGTCTCTGTTTTATTGGGTTAATTAGGTAAAATGTGCGCAGGTTCTTTGTCTGCTGCACAGTTGGTTGGTTATAACCATGGCTTAGAAGTTGCCTCAGAGAGTTATTACTATTTTTTTTTAAAAGATGAGTTAGAAGCTCCCGGTATGTTAGACTTTCGATCTGCTCTCTTGCGGTAGCTGGTCTTAGACCTTTTCCAAGGTGGAGAGCTACGAGTCCCTTTGCCCTTAAACCTACAGTTCTCAACCTGGGGGTCATGACCCCTTCAGGGGTCAAATGACCCCTTCACGGGGGTCGCCCGATTCATAACAGTAGCAAAATTACAGTTATGAAGTAGCAACAAAAATAATTTTATGGTGGGGGGGTCACCACAACATGAAGAACTGTATGAAAGGGTTGAGGCATTAGGAAGGTTGAGAACCACTGCCTTAGACCCTTTTTGGGCCTTGTGTGCAGTGTGTGCGTGGGGGGGGATGAGCTAGAACTCTCCTTGTGCTGGTGGAGGGTAAACTGACCAACTTTTCTAAAAGGTTAGTCAGCTTTGTATCCCATGTCTGCAAAGTCAGTGCAGACTCTGGCCCAGGGTTCCATGTCTAGGAATTGATTCTAAGAAAGTCATTGATCGTAACGAGACAGACTCCATGTATTGAATGCTTTTATGTGCCAGGCGCTCATGGCTACCCCGGTGGGGGTTGCTAGGACAGTCTCTTTCAGAAAAGGAGTCTGAGGCATAGGGAGTCACTTGTTCCAGCTCACAGGGTTAGATCCCATGGCTGTTCCTTGAGCCCAAGCCGTCTTCTTCAGTCCCTGGCTCCTAATCACTTTGTGGCGGGAGGCTTGTATACAGATAAGTTTGGTGTGGTGTCGTTTATAACAATGAGAAATAAAAGGCAGCCATATGCCGAGGGGATCCGTAAACAAACTCATGAAACATCCCACAAAATGAAATATTGAGGGGAAAAACAGAAGAAGAAATACTGAACCGACATAAGCACTCACATTCCTGGAGGAATCCTGAAAGATATTTAGGGATGGGGAAAATACATGCAACAAGAGAAAAATTTTAAATGTGCTATTAAACCATAACCTTGATTGTTTTTAATGAAACACACAAAAGATAGATATGGATGTACCTGTATTGAGATATTAATGGGTTTTTTTGGCAGAGAGTGGATCTGGTGGGATTATGTGTATGAATGTTGTTCTTCATAAGTGAGTCCATTGGTCAATGTTTACAGTACCCCTTTCTTTTATCGCATTTACCTGTTGAATGCCAAATGTTGGAGTCCCCGTGCCAACATGAAGCCGGTCTTTGCAAGGCAGGGTCACCAGGTGGCGCTCAGAGCATTTGTCGTTGCCATACACTTTCCTTTGCAAACACGGAACAGTGGCTTAGACATATTTTTTTAAATGATTCTTTTCCAAGTAGCAGGCCTGAGGGCGTTCTAAGTTTCACAGCGAGCCTATCTCTTTCCCCAGAGGCTGAGTTGTGGGTCGAACCCCGTCTCCCTGTGTTTCTAGCCCACATGGAGATTTCTGACACAGTGCCTTCCCACTTTTCTCTGCAGAAGCTGGTTTCCAGGTCAACCTTACGACGGCAAGGGAAGGAGGGCATCAAAGAAGGGAACGGGGTCGGAGTGAATTCCTCCAGCCGTGTGGGTATCGACAACTTTGAGTTCATCCGAGTGTTGGGGAAGGGGAGTTTTGGGAAGGTGAGTCTTGACGTTGAAAAACCAAACCAAACCATTCTATTGCCATATCATCCACATACCATACCATTTAGTCATCAGCCACATCAAGAAGAGTTGTACCATCATCGCCACAATCAGTTTTAGTTAGCTCCCCATTTTCCCCAACCTCCCTTGCCATCTGCACCAAGAACCAGTAATCCAGTGACTGTCTCTCCCAATCCACCTCTCCTGGATTTCATAGACAGAAAAAGATTATAAGCAAAGCCAAAAAGCCTACCAAGAATCACAAAGTAAAGCCAATGAAAACCGCTATAGGAAAGAAAGCAGGAAATATGAAAACCAGAGCACATTGAAGATGGATCGAATGGGAGATCAAATGATAGTGTTCAGTGTTAGCCTCGTTGCCTCAGCAGTCATCCCCCTCCCAACGTATTCCGCGTAAGAGCAAGGCTAAAAGGGGCTTCACCAGGGCTTAACCCACGTGTCTTTCTGTGCTGAAGTAGGCGAATGTGTAGATACTGCGTGTGTGTGTCCTCGCTCTTGTGCACGTTCCCCACGGCCATCCCAGTCTTCCCCCATGCGTGCCCGTACCCGAGGAATCCCAGGAGTGCCCCCTTATGTTCCCTCTTTCTGCTTTACCAAACGCAGGTGATGCTGGCCAGAATCAAAGAAACAGGAGACCTGTACGCTGTGAAGGTGCTGAAGAAAGACGTGATCCTGCAGGATGACGACGTGGAGTGCACCATGACCGAGAAGAGGATCCTGTCCTTGGCCCGCAATCACCCCTTCCTCACCCAGCTCTTCTGCTGCTTTCAGACTCCAGTAAGTGTGACCCACGCCCACCACCTAGACGCACGCCTTTCCTAACCGGTTGAACTAGGAGATGGTTAGCATTTTCCAAAGCAGGCCATCAGAAAGTGTTCTGGACATGGGCTTCCAGCCTGGCACGTGTGAAGGTCCTGGTGACTTGTGATGATGACCCATGGGATAATGTGGAAACCAATGGGCTAACCCCTTCCTTTGTCACCGTCCTGGGGAGAGAGCCCACTGAGGGCTGTGCATTTTGAGATGGAAAAGGTCTTCACACACAGGCCTTCTCGAGAGGAGTGGGAGGTTCCCGAAGTCTGAGACTAGAAGAAAGCCATGGGCAGATTACCTTGGTGAATTCGGCCTGGGCTTTGCTCTTGAATACTAGACTGGTTCTGTCCCAGGCACAAGAGTTCAGACCATCAAGAACCCTGGCATCGGAAGGAGATTCTTTGTTTGATTCCATGGATGGATGTGAGAGTCTAAGCCTGTCTAATCGATGATGGTGTGTAGTTAGGCCTGCTTTGGGCTACAGCAAGCAGTAACAGTAACTTAATAACAATGAACAGTTAACAGTAACTTAAACAATAAACAGAAAGGGCAGGGTCGGGTAGGTTCATTAGTATGCACTGTTTTCTTGTCTTTTCACATATAGAGAAGTTTGGTGGTGGCAGTGCTGGAGTTGGGTTATTGTTCAATGCCACGGGGGGCTGGGGAGGGGGGTGTTTCTTCCTTGAGGTCTCAAGGTCTTCCCCACAGCCGTCAGCATCACCCCTTCACGAGTCAGCATACAGAGCCGGAGGCACAGCTCCAGGAGCTGCTCCTTTATCAGGAGGAGGAAAACACCCCTAGACATAGGTCAGTCATCTGCTACTCACTCTTCGCTGCAGGGGAGGCTGGAATCACAAATATCTAGCCAAGGTAAACTGGCTTGCCATGTTGGTTTGGGGGAACCTTGGTGGTGTAGTGGTTATGCATTGGGCTGCAATCTGAATGGTTGGCAGTTTGAAACCACCAGCAATCCCGTGGAAGAAAGGTAGGGCTTTCTACTTCCTCAAGCAGCTGCAGTCTCAGAATCTCACAGGGGTAGTTCTACCCTGTCCTACAGGGTTGCTATGAGGCAGCAATTCGATCGCAGTGAGTTTTGAGTGAGATGTTTGTTTTCTCCCCGGAAGTAGGACACTTGACTGCCCCCGTAGAACTGGGCTCAAATTTGGGCGTCTGCTACATTGGAGAAGGGAAATGGCTCCTGATAAGCCAGGAAGAGGGACTGTGACAGAGTGTCAGAAGCTCCCTGTTGTCAGAGGCCATTCCAGGGCAGGAACTGACATGGGGAGTGGATTGCAGACCCTTCCCGTGTCTATGCGATCATCGGGGAAGTAGAGGGTGTGGCGGGGACAGGACAGAGGCAGATCACTGGGCCCAGGGATGCTGACAGTGCGTTTCCAGGGAAAGTAGCAATGGAACCGAACCCAGAGGTGTGAGTGAGAATTAGTTAGGCAAAGAGAAGGGGGTGAGAAGGAAAGAGCAGGCACACAGGTGTGGGGGTGAAGGGAACAGGGAGCATGAGGTGGGAATGAAGCCCGGCATCCTTGACTGTCCAGGTGGAGGAGAGCCTGGTGAGAGCGGCCTCTGCAGGGGGCATGGGGGCCCTGCAGGGGAGGGCCTTACAGACTGTTGTAGGAGTTAGGGTTTCAGTCCTGAGAGCAGGGGAAAGTCCTGTGAGACAATTTAGAGTGTATTTATATTGAAATTGTAATTAAAATTTTTTTTTAACTTCAGGAAACTGACTTTTTGTAATAGGTGATACAAGCATGCTCCAAATATCCTGTCTGTGATAGAAACAATCCTGAGTACTTTCACATGCAGCCTTCTAGAGAGTCATTTGCACATAAAAGAATACACAGACACATGATACACACATTTTCCTTTAAAACAACAAACATGAAAGGTAGTATGCCCACTCCTCCCGTATTAACATTGTTAGCATCCAAAGACCAGTCATATGCAAAGAAAATCGGTGTTACTCAAAAATAGAGGGTGATCACATAAATCACAAAATGCTTGCATAACTCCCAAATCATACGGTCGCACAACTACCAAAGCCTGTCATTCTGGAACTGCCCCATCCTGGGAGGCCTGGCCCATCCGCACAGACCCTTCCCCGTCCTCACCAGCCTGGCCCTGGCCTCGCACCTTGGTGTTTACTGCTAGATGTGTGTCAAGGACGCTCACAATAGAGAGCAGATATTTTTCAGTCCTGCTGTCAGTGCCTAATAGCTGGCTGCTAACCACAAGGTCAGCATTTGAACCCACTAGCCACTCCACGAGAGAAAGACTTGGCTTTCTACTGCCATAAGGAGTTACAGTCTCGCAAGCCCACGGTGCCAGTTGTATGTTGTACAGGACTGCTATGAGGCCAACTATGTGGCCAATTTGTAAATGCGTAATGTTAGCTAACAAGAGCGTCGATGAGCCAAGGAACAGGTATGTATCTTACTTCTACACCATGTTCTATTTTTTAAAACGAACAGCAGATCTTGAAGGTGATTTCACGGTGGTTGTTGCTGCCTCATTGTTTAACGGCTGCAGTCTATTACCTTTTACGATCAGACAATTTACTGAACGTCGCGACCTCTTTTTGTGTCCTACCTGGCCTTTTCATTCGAGGACTGTGGCTCTGGAGTCCCTTACACGTTCATGGGCGGCTTCTCCGTGTGCTGTGCTAGTATTTCCATATGATGCATTATGAGACGTCGGTGGTGTTCGGTCAGAAGGCATGTCGATTTAAATTTTATACTGAATCCAAAGACTATTTTCCCCAAACTGGCTAAAAATAGCTAGCATCATTGACTACAGATCAGGCATGGTTCCAAGTGTTCTCTGTGGATAAGCCCTTTATAGAGTAACTCAGAGATGAAGTCCTAAAGTCTGTTGTCAGCACTCCCATTTTGCGGATGAGAACATGGAGTGTGTAAACAGGATAATGCTACGGCCCTTTCTGTCTCCTGCACGCAGGAGGTGCTCGGCGACGCTGCCTAGGGTCCAAAGTCTGTGTTCTACTCCTCGGCCCTTCTTTCTTGGTGGCAGTGAGACCCCTCCTTCCACCTCTGAGAGGGTTCATTTTAAGGCTAGCAGGATGACAAAACTGGACAGTCATCTTGTTAGGCTCCCAGGTACCTTATTTGCCTGGTTCCACCCATGACAAAGGCTCCATACACTCTTTTGCATTATTATTACTAGCAAGCTGCCCAGTCCCTGGGGTGGGCTACCACCAGCCTCGTGTTTGCACAGCCCCTCCTAGTCATTGGTGGGCGGTACAAGACCACGGAGAAGGAAAAGCCGTAGAAAAGCGATCCTCACTGAGGCACCAAAAAGGGTCGCTTCGAAGTGGTAGGGTGGCTTCTGAAGCCAGGCATTGTGACCGCCGGTCCCAGGCTCTTCACCACTCGCTGGCAGTGTTTCTCGGTTTATCTGAGGAAGCTACAAGGGAGGAGGCCCAGTGCAGCTGCCTGCTCCCTCTCCTTCCCATCATGCCCTGCCCTCGGTCATTGAATCCCCTTAGAGATGGTTTTAAAATAAATGGCTTCTGTGAAGGTCTCATTTCCTGTGCATTGCACTCAGCGTGAGGCTCAGCCTCATGTCTAGATGTCTGGGAGCTGCTTGTGTTCAGATGTGGTTTGGAAAGTGTGCTTGTCCAGCCTAGAGAGTGGATTGGGACAAGGCAGGACTGGGAACGGGGAGACAGGGCAAGTGTGAAAGGGGGTTCACTCCCACCCACCCCCATCCCGGCCCACGTTGCCCAAACATATCAGAATGACCTGAACAGTCAGCCTATGGCTTCTTAGGTCCGAGCCCAGGCTGCTGCCCTTCCCGCCCTGATGGTTTCCTTGCAGCCTGGCGTCCCCTCAGCCCTTCCCTTCCCCACTGCTACCAGGATGTCCTTGGAATTACATTTCCTGTGATCCAGCTTTGTCAACAGAGAGCCCTTCCGCCCTCCCCGCCCCACTTCACCCATCTGGGGGAGGGGCACTTACAGCCCGGGCTTGAAACCATTCTTGTCAGGTCGGACTGATAAGCCCCCTAGCCGTCCACCAGGGCTGCAGGCACTGCGATCCGCGTGTACTGTGATTAGCAGCTGGGAGGTGACGCGCAGGCCCCCTTCCTGGGGCCTGAGATGCTTCATAGGATGGAATGCGGCACATGACGCTAGATTAGATAACGGGCAGAGAAGCCGAGAGTGGGCAGCCGCTGGTGTTCAGGCCCCAGACACTGGCTGTGCGCCCCCATCGACTGCTGAGGAAACAGGCGAACGCGTCTCCTTCCCCCTCCGGGGGTCTTTCACTGACTGGAGGAAAACCCTGGCGAGTCAGAGGGCTCGTCCACAATTAGGTTGTGTGACTGTGGAGTAGACTGAGACATGGGCCCAGCAAGTTGGGATCCCCGTTCATAGGGCGTATAAAACAAAAAAATCAAACCCATGGATCAAACACGTCCATTCCAACTCATAGCGACCCCGGAGGACAGAGTAGAACTGTCCCCAAAGAGTTTATGCGACGTTTCAGCCGCTGTGCCACCCGGCCCGGGTTCCACAAGGCGGAATCTTCCCGGGCAAATGCAGACGCCGGCCAAGAGCTGGAACTTGCTGGGGCTGCCTCGTTTCTCGGGGTTTCCACTTCTCTCCACACCCACTGCCATCAGTGAAGTGGAATATGTTTGCCTTTTCCTTCTGGGACAGGCGCTTCTGCCTTAAACAGGTCTTGGGTTTTATGGATTTTCCAGTGTGTAAGGTACATGGTGCACGGAAACAGTACTGACCACAGCTGTGTCTGAAGAGCAGTCAGGAACTGAAGCCCTTCTTCGCATGGACTACTTTTTCTAGTGGAAGTTTTATCTCTGGCCACGAGGTGGCAGTCATAACTACACAAACAGTGTCCCCTCCGGGCCACCCCCCTAAGTCCCAGTAGGACCTGCCTTTGTGAGCTTAAATCTCTCAGAGGAGCCCTGCTGGCACA